GTGGCCAAATATCGGCTGAAGAGCCTTGAGCATGACAACGGATTCTTTGACGGCCATGTTGCGCTGTGCCAGGAAAACTGCCTTTTCCCACAGCCGCTTCACCTTAACAAGGCAGGGGGTCATGTTATGCAAAGAAGCTAGACAGCCAGCTGACCTGTTAGCCTCAGCCTGGCATTGCCCTGTGGCTATAGGCACGATGCACCTCAGATGCCTGCGCACGCAAACATGCCTGGGCGGAGGGCCTGCAGTAAAGAGCATCAGCTGAGGGTCTGGCGTACTTCATTGCCTTGGGAGTTTTTCCAGAATAGCTGTAGAGCCCGCCATCCACTACCTCGAGGAAGTCATACTCCTTGGTAATGGGAAGGACTTGGCCGTTGCTCACGTGGCCAAAGCGGATGACGTTCGTAATCTCGTAGAAACGAGACACGGACGCTCCATCCTTGAATAAAGGGACCTTTGCAAACGTCGTGATGAATGCAGTCCGCGACTTGTTGCCCCGTTCCAGAGCCTTCTCCAGGGGGATCCTTTCCTTCCCACCACTGAGGTCACGCACCTTCTCGCCCTTCTGCAACTCGTCGGTGCTCCAGGTCAGCACCTTCCCAGAATCCGCTGGATCCTCTCCGGCCTTCAATCCTCCCCAGAGGATGTTCGCTTGGCCTTCACATCTCTTACTAACGTCCTTCAGCCACTGCACCAGGCGGCACAGTGCCTCCTGCCGATCGGCTTCCACAGCCACAACATATTCTTCCATGTCTACATCGCAGGGATAGAGCATCGCAGTGAACCGGAAGCTTCCTGCCGGTCGAACGTCGCTAAGCACGCAGACACTGCGCACGACCCTGGCTAGGTCCGGACTCAGGTCTGGAAGAGAACGCTGCCTCAAGAGACCGACATCGAATAGTTCCGTTGCCGCCAGCACTTCTCATCTCCTTCTCAATGCCCAGGCAATCAAGAAACAGATTTGCGATGCGCTTAACCTCATTGGCTCTTGTCTCAGCTCGGGATTTCGCTGCTTGCGAATCTTCTGATAAAGGGCTGGACGATGGCGACGCGAAGCGAATGCAAAGTAGCTTCATGCCTTCGGCAGGTGACAAAGACATCGTGATCAGCGCCTTTTCCGAACTCAGCTCCACATACTGCTCCATATAGTTGCGGAAAACTTGCGGGGGTCCCGGGCTCAACTTCTGCGATCCGTGCCCGATCCTGCATATCTTGTCTGCCATCTGTGCCAGGATCGCTGGTGAAACTAGGCCTTCCACATTGAGGTTGCAAACTTCGCAAGCTTCTTGCTCTGAGTCTGGCAGTAATGCTGTGGGTAGGCAACACGGTACAATGAAGTCTTCCTTGAAGGCGCGCTTCAAGATCAGCTGCTTCTGCTCCATGATCTTGAGAATCATGTCTGTCATTCCCGGTGCCTCATCTTGCGCAAAATCCTTTCTCCACAACTTCTCAAGAAGACCTCGATTCACCAGGCCTTCCGTGTTCAGTCTCCGAAGGCCCGTAGCCAACACGCATTCCATGAGCTCCTCCCTGTAGGCCTTAGAGTGCTGGAGGTTTTTCTCGGTCCAGAAGCGCAAGCTGATGATCCGAGTCAAAGCCACGGCCACTTTTCGGATTGCTAGCAGCACGCTCTCTTTCAAGCCTGCCTCGTGAAACCAGCAAAGAACGCCCAGGCCATGCAGCAGGCTCAACACCTTGGGCACGTCTTCACCCACGACTGGACTTGGCCGAAGGCCAGCCAGCAGAGTCTTCACTTGCGAAAGTCCGAGCGACGTGCACGAGACCTTCACGAGCAGGTCATTTTCACTGCTGGCTCTTTCGAGCACATCAATACGGGCACCTTTTGGAACAAGGTGAGCATGGGTTCATCAGACTTCAAATTGATGCTAATCTTCGGTGCTCGGAGATCCTTGGCTTTCATGCTTTCTTCCGGATGCTCCCGAAGTCGCGCCTCTGGTACCTTGACTTTCATGCCGTCTCCCAGTCCAGTGAGAAGGTCATGAGCCCGAAGCCATGCCACCGGATACTTCTGCGACTGTAGTCCAGCATGCGCTTTCTTCTTCACTGCATCTTGCCTAGCGGGCAGAAGCAGCTCTGTAGTCAAGCCGTTCAGCCTCTCCCGGAGCGGTTTGATGTAGC